TTAATTAAAATTTACTGTAGATTAAGACTTTCATTATTTAGTATTCTTTGAAAATATTAATAATTTGAAAATGCATTGTTGAATTCTTTTCATTAAAATTTATTTAATTTTTTTCCCTATTAATGTATAGGTACTAATAAAATTCAAATCTATTTTTGCATGATTCAATAAATATTGTTTTTTTGAAGAGTATTATTCTTTTGAATAAAATATCTAGCGACGGTTGCTGCAAAGCCCTCAATTTTTTTCGAGTAAGCGCTAGTCTTTAGGTGAGTATTGTTCTTAGATAATTCTTGTTTTACTCACAAAAAATGAAATTAAAATTTAAAAAACGTTATGAATATTTCAAAAGAATAAACTTAAAATTAATAAGAAATTGTAATAATAATATTAAATCAACAAAAATAATGTAATTTCTTGAAATCATTTTGTTGAAAAAGATGATTAATACTTAAAGCAAAATTATCTGAAAAGTATTGAAAATAAATAAATAATAACTATAAATATTCAATTGGAAAATAAAACGCATTTTCTGTATTTAAAAGGAAATGAAACCTCATATAATAAATTATAGAAAATCATGACATTAAATGCAATTCTATTAAGTCCTAATTTGATTTAAAATTATTTTTCGTCACTTTACCATAACACAATAAATGCCTCAGTAATAAAAGCCTCTACACATCTGAATAAGGAAGCGTTTGTTCAATTTCAACTTAGAATGACGCAATACAACAACGAGAAAAAACAATCTGCGATGTAAATTAATAAAAAAATCTGCGAAATAAATGAACGCTTAAAATTAAAGACAGAAAAATTCGTAATTTTTATGAAATTTATACTTTACTTTAATCTACAAAAATATCTATTTGTTCCTAAAATACGGGCAATCAAACTTAATTATTTCATTTATATTAATCGATTTGTTCTCAAATTCGGAATAACGAATGTCAGACGAATCATAAAGTAGTTTTTTTGTTTTTTTTTAAGGCTGAATATATTTTCATAGGATTGTTTTATAACAAATAGAGATTGTTTAAATTTAGCTCCAATTTAAGAAGTTAAGGTTATTTAAAAAAATGCATTGTATAATCTGAGAAAAAATTGACAAATGAGTCTTAAAATGAATTGATTTTTATTTTCAACTGCTTTAGTTAAATTCAAAATACTGTGCAATTGTGTTAAATTAATTTTTAAAATAATTTTTTTTATAATAGATACGTGTTTTGAAGATATTTTTTTATAAAATAATGCGCTGAAAGGAGTGAAATAATTTTTTATGCAAAATATTATATCACATTGGGAAATATTAATTAAATGTTAAGAGAAATTATAGACTACTACTAGTATTTACAAAACTACTAATATTTACTAAATAATATATTTTTGAACGAAAGCTTTTGAAGCAAAATTTAAAAAAAAATTTAAAATAATAAAAGAAGCATGATTAAATTATAATGAGAAAACCATAAATATTTTTTTTTATTCTTCTTTATTACTTTGCAAAAAAAGAAAAATACATTTACATCAATTTTAAAAGAAGAGTTAAATATTCATCTTCTAGGACTCAAAAATTGCTCAATACCAAAACCCTATTTGCTTGCCTAAACAAAACAAAACAAACAAAAAAATATAAAAAGAAATATCAAAATATATAAATAACAAAACATCTAAATTTATATATTTCAAGTAAAATGACAAAAATATGTTTCAAGCAAAATTTTCTGAAATCATGCAAAATAAATAAAATAAAAAAAAATTCAAAACTGAGAAAAGATAAAAATTTTAAACTAAATAAATGGCACTAGAGGAGAATTTTGCGAAGGATTTAAAATAAGATTTATTGCAGATAATGTAAAATGACCTAAAATCTTGCAATTTATTGAAAATAAAATTATTATTTGATAATTATTTTAGGCCATTTCAAGTGCATTAGTAAAAGCATTATAAAATAAAATATTCAATAAAACTTTTATTTCTTCTTGAAAGACGGATATTAATTTATTATCTTGCATAATAATAAACAGTTGCAAAGTAATAATAACATAATAACAATTAAAAAATGATAAGTACATGTAAATAATTATATTTAACGTGAACAAAATTGTAGAATGTTTTTAATGATTGCAATAACCTTATTAGGGCACGCAATCTAGTTTATATGTTAGCCTTATTTAAAATAAACTATGCTTGGTTCATTTTTTTTTTTAAAAAATATATAAATTCACTTTTAAATATTTCTAAAAAACGCAAAATGCATCTAAAATAATAGTTTGCAATTAGCGTTCATTGTAAATTAAAAGTAAAGTCCATCGTAAAAGAATTTAAAGAGCAAATTAATTGTATTTTAAAATTAAACTGTTGAAATAAATTCATTATTGATTTGAATTTTTATTATAATTATCTGATTTTGAAAATACTCCGCACTGGTAGAATTTTTATTCTGAAATTATGCTAAAATAACCGACAGCAGTATCTAAATTCAATTAGCCGTAAATATTACGGTGAAGAATCTTTTTTACCTTTATGGTTTTTTAACCATTCACAACTACCATGGTTTCAAAACCGTAAAAGCGAAAATTAACTGGGTATTGGATGTAATTTAGCAGCCTTATAGTGCTGCCATCTATGAGTGAATGAGAGTATCGTTTTCTAATATCCCAGGGTCACAAATTGTGGAGTGCATGACACTGGGTACTCTTCATGTGTTGAACAGAATCAGTGAAATATTGTAGTGCCAACACAGGGACTTGAACCCCAGTTCTGTCGGTCATGAGAGCGTCTGATTTGCTCTCCCGAAATGTGTACACATCTGCAAGTAGATTCATTAGGTGGGTATAGTTGATGCAATAAAATTCGAGTTGTTGAACCGTATTATGTAAAAGAAGTCAATAGGCAGTTTTTCCCACAGTTAAAATTTGAATACCTTCTCATTTATGGTTATTTCACTTTTTGCGTTAGAATATCGTAAAATAGCAATTAAATGACTTGTTATTTAACTATTTTTTTCCAAGAAATTTCTAACAGTGTAAATCAAACTTCATTCAAATAAATGAGATTCATATATCATCAAATAACTATTCTCATTCTTTATAGAAGGGGCAAACTAGCCTATTTTTATGGATAAAATGAGTCTATTATACACCAAAGCTTCTATTTCGATTTGGAACTTTTGTTCAGTTTGTATCTATAGTTCTATTCCCATGAGATCATTGCGTGATGAAGTTTTACCCAAAGGGGTTTTGGAGTATTTTTTCCGAACTCCCAGAGGAGCTATCTTAAGCGAAATTTAAATTGGTATAGGCGACACTTCAACAGTTTGACTTTGTAATATAAAACGGGGAAATATTTCACCTTTCGGCTAAAGTTGATGCACTTTAACGGTATAGAATGCTAGGAATTTATATATTTGACTCATTTTGACCGAATATATCTTTTATTAAGTCTAGAGTGAATAAAATCAAATTATAGATCACAATAACTCAGACAATGATCTATGGATACTTCACGAAAACCAATAAATTTGCTTCAAATATTGGGTATATATCATGCTTTATGATTCGAAACGGTATCGGAGGAAAACGGATAAAGTGTCTATTGTCGCAGAAAAATCGTTTCAACGTTAAGCCTTATCGTGCAAATTTATTGCATCCTTAATTAGATGTGATATTATGGCTTGAATTTCATCAAAATTGTAATTAAATTTTGAAAGATTACGTGAACAATCCTTTCTCAGAAAAATCAGCTCTACGTTGATCATAATATTGGAATCTTAAAGCATAGTTTCTTGTTAAATTGCAGCGATCTTAATAATATGCAAAATAGAAAAACATGTTTGTTCAAGCTCTAGGATGTCATTAAGTAATGAATAATGATGTACGGATACTTCCTAAAAGCCAATAAATTTTCTTCAAATAATATTGCGTATATCTTGCACTTTAAAATTCAAAACGGCATAAGAAGAAAATGAATAAAGTATCTAATGTCACAGAAAAATCGTTTCAACAATAAAAAATAATATCGTCCATATTTATTACAACCTTAATTTGTTGTGGTTTGAATTTTATCATAATTGTAGTTAAGTTCTGAAAGAATACAGGAATACAGAAAAATAAGCTCTAGGTTGATCGTAATATTAGGAAACTTTAAGCATAATATTGTGTTAAATTGCATCGGTCTTAATGAGATGCAAAATAGAAAAACATGTTCGTTCAAGCTCTAACATCTCATAAAGTAATGAAGTTTCAGAAAGAATAATTTAGTTCAATGCGATACTGCCCCTTTGATGCAAAAATATATTTTTTATACCTTTTCATTATTTTGTATTAATATAGAACAAAATAAAAGAAAAATATTATATTTAGTTATATAATATTATAATTCATAATTTTATAATTTATATTTTGTAACCAATAATTATATTATATGATATAATTTTATAACCATTTTTTTAATTTATGATTATAAAATTCAGCATGAAACAATGGTATCTTTTTCCGAGTAAAAAGTATTACCTTTTGTAAACACAGTACACTTCCAAACACTTAATTTCTCAAATTTGCACTGTTAATAATTTTCTTTAACATGTTTTTATATGTATTATTTACGTACTTAAAATTTAGTTTTTGTACTAATTGCTTTTTTTCATGTTCATTTTAATTATAAGGACTGTTTTTAATCGAATAATTCATTCTAAGCACAACGTTTGCAGGAAGTTCAGTAGTATTAAATATAATAGAAAAATAAACAATCAGTATTATAAAGATTCAGCCAACTATTTATGTAAAATTGCAAATTTAAGTATCAAACTTTTGAGAGTCACACATAAAATGACGACAGTTTTTTTATTATATAAAGGAAGATACAGTCTTAATTTTGTTTTTCTATTAGTAATACATAATAAATGGTAATTTTTGGAGCTGAGAAAAATTTAAAAGCTTTCAAAAATGATAGCAAAATGTAATCAAAAGCCTAAAAGTAAATAGATAAAATTTGACTCACCAGAAATTCAAAATTTCTGCGAACTCAGTATGTTGGGTCTGATATACTATCGGCGTTGATTATGAAGACACAGTATTTTGTCCTGCAAAATGAAAATAAATATTTTTTAAATTTATTAGACATTCTAAATAAACAACAAAATCAGTATTTTTAAATACAAGTTCATGGGATTTAATGATTTAACATTTTTAAGTTGAAAAATTCAATGTAATTATTGAACTTCAATTAAAATAAATGTCGCAGTATTTTCCGAGAATTATACCAAATAATTTCAAAATTCTTCGAAATAAAATTTAATTACCTCAACTAAATTGCTCAATTTATTTACTTCAAAGATTAAAATGAATAAATGATGTTCTGATAAATGTAAAAATCTCGTTAAAATAAGTTGAAATAATGTGACGAGAAAATAATTTCTCAGATCAATGAAAAATTTATATGAAAATAGTAATTAAACAAACAGTAATATTCCCGTATTTTGAAAGGTAAATGAAAAACAAAAAAATAGTTGTGATTAATATATATATATATTTATAGATATTTAAAACCCTCTAGTTACACTCAATTTGCGCTTTTGTTTTCATATTTTGTAATCTGGCAATCTTGTTGCGAAAACATTTTTAAATCATTCTTGAAAAATTTCCCGTCCATGTAAGTACATCTGATTTCGCTAATCGCTTTATAGTCTATGCTTTATACTGTTTTTATTTTTATTTTATTTTATTTTCAGTTTTTTCATGTTATTTTTACTTATTGTGTTCTATTTTATTTGTTGTAATTTTTGCAAAAAATTTTTTTGAGTGCTCCTCACACATATATTTATANATTTCATTTTTATTATTATTTAAGCTTAATGCTAGTGGAATTGCATCAGTAAAGTAATAATACATATGATGTATTTAACATACAAGAAAACGGTTAAAACCAAGATATTATATATATATATATATATATATAGAGAGAGAGAGAGAGAGAGAGAGAGAGATAGATATAGATAGATATATATAGATATAGATGGATAGATAGATCAAAAAATATGTATTTGCAATAAACTATTCTCATGTGAATTAATTTACGTGAAATTGTTTACCAATCCATTAGCTTAAGTAGTATTTTTCAGCTTAAATGTTCTTAATAAACTAACTTTAAGTTTAAACTGCGTAGGCGAGTGCTTTTAAATAAATTTCCGTGTAAAAACCAAATGAAATTTTCGCATCTAAGAAAAAAAAAACTATATATAAACTGTCTTTTCACGTTTCAAGAATTTCCTGATATTTAGTTGTTTGTTTCGAGTGCAATAAAGTTTTGAAATTGAGACATCAAGAAAATCACCCTTAAGCTCTTATTTTATGCAACCACGATGTTTATCTCGGTTTGAAAAAGTTTCCATGCCTGCACTTTGCAATATTTAGAAGTTTCTGACCTAAATCCCTATTGCCGTTAAAAGATAAAAACTTGCGTGATTTTTTGACAATTTCTTCTATGCCCCGGGGCATAACTGATATTGACGTAGCCTCATAGTTATTTACATCGAAGCTCTTTTTTTATTTATTTTAAACTCCCGAGACGGTGTTATAAAAAAGAAATAAAAATAATCTTTAAAAAAAGAAAAAAAAGAAGAAAAAGAAAAACTGCCCGCTATGCTCTATCTATCACTTTTGTCACAACATCAATTTCGTACTTCGCTGTAGCATGAACCACAGGAATCAACATTATCAGGTATTATTTTTTTCTAATGTTGTTATGAAAAAAAATCGTTTTTTGTATTATTTTTCTGATAGAAATACTTGCGTGTGGAAAGAATTGTGATACGTAGTGGCAGTTTCTGCGAGATCTGTTCTTTTCCTCGCCAAAATGGAAACCATATATTTGAGACAGGAATGGAATTTAAATATTTTTTTCACATAAATAAGGTCAGTTAGTTTCTTCAATATTATATATATTAGATGATGGAGAGATAAATAATGTGCTGTTGTTGTTTCATTTTAAGTAAAATTTAATGTTTAAAATGGATAGCAAAAATCTATTTGTTGTGAGTTTAATTTTCTTATTTACTTTTTTCAGATTTGGCGTTTCTTCCATTCAATTTCTTTTTTAATTTTGGCGATGCTTTTATAATGGAATGAAGGGAAAAATGTGTTAAAAAAGAGAAGGGTATTTCAAAGTATGTTTAATAAAATGTAGTATTTTCATATATTTGCTAAGTTTTGAATTATACATTAAAATTAGAATCCTTATTTCATTATTATATCACATCGCATACACGGAGAAAAAAGTCTTGATAAAATTACCTTGTTGTACTGCAATAACATTTCTCAAAAAAAAACATAATTCTGGTTAATGAAATCAAAATATACTGCATTTAAACTGATCTCTCTCGGAAATTCGAGTTTTCAAAACTATAGTTCGAATTACCACAAATATAGTAAAAAAAAATACAAAAAAGTAAAGTTAACCGAAAAACTGGTTATGTATATATGTATATATTATATATATATATATGTTAAAGTATAAATTATATATATATATATATATATATGTAATACAATAAGTAAATACTTTTGTATTAATAAAAGCATTAAAACTCTTTCGTTTTCATAAAATGTCTTTGTTAAAGAATAAGCGTAGAGAGATTCTATTTTGGGAATTCAAGGCTGAAAACATACCATTGAAATATAAATAGATTTATATTTCAAAGGAAGAGTTATTTTTAGAATC